ATTGAGTTTATTTGTGTCCATTTTACTTGTACAGAATTTGAGACATAGATTAAACAACCATCTAAAAACATCCAGCTGGTCCATGGCAGCCAAGTGGAAGAAACCAGGTATCTTAAGTGCCAGATGTTGCCATGACATTGTACAGTACTATCAGCATCCCATTGCTTTTTAAAAGTATTTTATTTATTATCTTTATGTGTATGAATGTATTGCTTGCATGTATGTAAGCACCTGTGTCATGCATTGCCCACAGAGGTCAGAAGAATTGGATTCCCTGAAACTGGAGTTGTGGACAGTTGTTAGCTGCCATGTAGTTGCTGGGAAATGAGCCCAGGTCCTCTGCAAGAACAGTCAGTGCTCTTAACCACTGAGCCATCTCTCCAGCCCCTCTATTGCTATTATACATGGGCCACTATGGCCTCAAATAAGTGAGCCATGAAAAGTCCCCATGAAGCAAAAGGCCCTGTTCTTGAGGGTGTCCCAAGACTGAGAAATCTGCTTTTTTCCCTTTATTAAAACACCACTTTTACAATTTCATCTGTTTATCATGGTACTTGAACCTGGACCAGGACCTTGCACATTTTAGGTAAGCACCTTACACTGAGCTCCATCACCAGCCCCATATAAGCATCCCTTATCAGCAGTTTTGCTGTTTAATCCTAAACCAACAGAACATGAACTTGTATTTCCTTTTTCTTTTTTGCCTTTCCTCCAACCATGGTTCTGAAGTCCTTCAAACATGGCTCTTGCTCTTAAAGACATTTCAGTTCTACAGCCAGAGTAGTTCTGAGCATAATGGCAGATACTGCTGCATCTCCCACTTTCCTTCCCTTGTCAGAAATTGGCTTGAGATTCTGAGATATCTTGAATTACTAGTGGCAAAGAACAGAGGAAAAACAGTGCTCTTGAGATCTCAATTAAAAGATAACTTGGAAATCTAAGGTGATAACCTAAAGAAAGAAACAGTGAATTCACAAGATCACTCGAGTATGGAAACAGGTAGCTCATGCAATTTAGATGTGTGACTGTGGATAGTTTATTTAAAAAGGCTTTTCTGTGAGATCATGAATGGTGATAAAGAGAATTCATTCTAGAATTTTCTGACTTCATCCTGATGGTGTCAATGTTAAGCCCTGAAGGGTGGTTTTGTGTGTGTGTGTGTGTGTGTGTGTGTGTGTGTGTGTGTATAAAATCAAGGCTAGGATTGTTTAATTTGGAGATTGCCAAGTGAGGTGACATGTGTTTCCTAGTATCTGACAGAAATGTAGTGACTTAGTTGGAAGCTGTAAGGATGATGACCTCATCTCTGTATTTCAAGCAGCTGCTATGGTGAATATTGTGAATGTCGGCTGCTGTTCCTAGCGATGGTCTGCTTTTGCATCTCACTCACAACTGAAATGAGTGAGGCTCATTTTGGGGTCTCAACAGATCAGCAGTGGTACATCACAGCTCACCCAATGTTGCAGCCTGACCATCTAAACCAGGCATCACAACAAGAACTATGCTTTGTCCTACAAGGTGCACATTGTAGAAGGGAGAAGAAAAGAGCTAATCCCCGAGTCCAGAAGGGTTGGTGTGGCACATGTGACTGCTTTCTACTCTGCCCCAGAGTCTTAGAAGTTTCTGGGCTCACATGATCGAAATGGTCTAGAAGGGTTTCCATATGTTGATTGCAGTGTGTGTCTCCTCTGGACAAGACACATTTAAAGTCAGAGCTCCTGGAAGGACAGTCTCCCTTGCCTGCGTTGAGAATTGGTTGTGTAAGCTTGGTTCTGGATGTGTCTTTGGCATGACACTTGCCATTGTTATTATCATCTTTATATTCCTGCAGGTGGTTCCAGGAAGGAAATTACTGAACATTGGGAATGGCTTGAGCAGAATCTCCTGCAAACGCTCTCCATCTTCGAGAATGAGAATGACATCACCACGTTCGTGAGAGGAAAGATACAGGTAGAGCTTTCGTTTTGTTTTGGGTGAATATGATTGAAGTGCATTATATGTAGGAAATATCAAGGAATAAATGGAAAATATTATAAAAAGAAATCTAAAAATATAAAAGGCTTTTAATTGGGAAACATTTAAGATTTACAGAAATGTTGTAAAAATAAGAATTGTGGAAAGCATACCTATATCATATCCTTCATCCAGACTTGCCTGTGAACATCTTACCCTACTTGTTTATCATTGTGTACTTACTATTTGAGAGGAACTTTCTCCCAAATCCTTTAGTATGTTTTTTAATAGAGGTATTTGATGAAAAATATTAAGCTAAGTATGGCTAAACGTTCCAGGTCAGCTGGAGCTACAGGGAGACTCTGTCTCAAAAAAACTAACTAAATAAATATAACTAACTAAATGAATAAATAAATATTCTATGTTTTTTCATTCATGTTCTGACCCAGGATCCCATAGTTTTTCCTCATTCTTTTTACAACTGTGAAGCATGTGTTTACTGTAGTTAGTTTAGCTGTTCACCGGTACTTGGATATTTAGGTGGCTTCCAACATTTTGCAGCTATAAATGCTACACATAGAACTGTGTGCATTTGTATTTTTATGTTATTGGAGCTGTACCTTTAGGGTGAACTTGTGGAAGACCGAAGGGTAAATGTTCTCCAACTCCTGTCCACAGGCCCTGTCCCATTTTCTGTTATTCCCACTGGCATGTGTGGAGTCCCCCCTTCCCCACAGCTTCACCAACAGCGTCGGTTATCCAGCTTATGTCTTCTGTTGATTTTTATAGAAATTTTGGTCATTTTCTTATTTTGTGTGTGCATGTGTGTGTAGCACTGAGGACAACCTCGGATGTCATTTGTCAAGTGCTGTCTACCCCCACCTTTTTTCCCATAGAACTAAATTCATATAAAAAGTGATTTTGATTCTGGACTTATATCTGTCTACAAAGTGAGAGATAGTAAAGTGAATTTCTGTATATTTTTCTTTCATCTTATTGCCATTATTTAATTACAGTGTTATTTACTAGAAAAGGTAAAGGGTAGAATTTCGTGAAGTCCCCTGCATTTTTTGAAAGATTGTTATTGACTCATGGCATACTGTGACCAATTTGGAGACGCTCACTCATATAAAGAAGCACTGTTCCTGCCGGTGTGTGACTTGTTTCAAATTGGTAAAATGAGGAAGGAAAACCATTAAAATCCACCATTATCTCTCATTTTTATGAACACTTTGGCAGGAAATATTGGTCAACAAGATAATTCACTGTAATGAAGTTGTCATTCTCCTTCATCTTATGTAAGGAACAAATACAAGACAAAAGTCTGCAAAGAGTATGATGAGATTACCACCATATGCTCATATTTAAAAATAAGCACAAAGAATAAATACAAAAATTATCATTGCTTATTTTTAAAATAGTTTTATTTGTTAATACTGTTTAGAATCAAAAACAAAAAACTAAATTAATTTACTTTTAAGACAAGACTCTTTCATTTTCTATGCTTTATCCACATTTAAACAATACATGAGTTTATAAACTAGACAGATATGTTGCGTTTATGTTAATATCCGTCTTTTCTCGTCCTCTTCCTTTCCAAATAAATGTAATGACAAATCTTAACATAGCTCTCTGTGGCTTATAAAGTCACCACTTCATCATTTTACTCAATGTTCTTTTTTAAAATTATTTTGTTAGCCAGGAATGGTGGTAAATTCCTTTAATCCCAGCACTTGGGAGGCAGAGGCAGGCAGATCTCTGTGAGTTCAAGGCCAGCCTGGTCTACATAGCGAGTTCCAGGCCAGCTGGGGCTACAGGGAGACCCTGTCTCAATAAGACAAAAAAAAAATTTAATTTGTATGGATCCAAACTGTAAGCTCAGTAAATCAGTATTCTAGGAAAGTTCGGTCTTTTTGAGACAGGGTCTCCCTTGTGCCCCAGCTGGCCTGGAACTCGCTATGTAAACCAGGCTGGCCTTGAACTCACAGAGATCTGCCTGCCTCTGCCTCCCAAGTGCTGGGGTTAAAGGCGTGTGCCACCATGCCCGGCTAATTTTGTCTATTTTGAAAAACACTGCATTATACTGATTTTTCCAAAGAGACCCCCTTTTTGAAGTAACTAATACCACAGTTACTTAATTATTCTTTTAAAATATGTGATCCAAATTGGATTTAAAGTTGATCATGTGAGTGTGATTTCTTTTGGAGGGGGTTGAGGGGAGAGAGAGGGTTTATTGTAGGTCACAGTTCAGGCGGGCAAGATATCTTCAGCACAGAGCCTGAGGGAGCCGGCATATCATCTACAACATCCATGAATGCAGGCATGCTTGTGCCCCGCTGCCTTTCTCCACTCTTCTACAGTCCAGACTTCCCTGCCTAGAATGTGGTGCCACTCATCCTGGGCAGGTCTTCCCCCATCACGTAATGTAATCAAGACAACCCCTCAGCAACAAGCTCAGAGGATCACGGGTGATTCTAGATTTTGTCAAGTTGACAGTTAACACTAATCATCATGATGGACCTGGTGGTTCAGGCCTTTAATCTCAGATACTCAGAAGACTGAGGCAAAGGCATCACATGTTCAAGGTCTGCCTGCATTACAGTGAGCTCAGAGCCATCCTGTGCAATTTGGTGAGACTTTGTCTCAATCTTTTCTCAAAATGCATTTTTTTTGTCTTTTTTTTTTTTTTTGAGACAGGGTCTCCCTGTAGCCCCAGCTGTCCTGGAACTCACTATGTAGACCAGGCTGGCCTCGAACTCACAAAGATCTGCCTGCCTCTACCTCCCAAGTGCTGGGATTAAAGGCATGCACAACCATGCCCAGCTAAAATGCATTTTTTTTAATATTTGCAAATTTAATACAATGTGTTTTGAGCATATTTACATCTTATCTGTGTCCTTCACTGTAGCCTCCTGGACAGATTTCATGTACTCTGTCATATGTACTAAGGCCTACTGAATGTCGTTTGGTGTGCTTCTGTCCACTGGAGGCTGGTTAATCTATAGCATTACAGCCTTAAAGAACACTAACTCTCCCTCTCCCAGTAGTTATCAGTTGCCAGTAGTTCCTCAGCTGAGGTGGGTGCTTCTTCCCCGTTTCCCACTTCTATGCTGGAATTTTATCTGAATTGAGCTTACATGGGTCTTGTACATGCTGTCACTATTGCTGGTGAATTCATAATGAGTAACTGCCCAGCTATCTGGAAAACTGTTTCCTTGTAGTCATTAACTATGTCTGGCTCTTATAGTCTTTCTGCCCCCTCCTCCACAACGGTCCCTGAGCTTTGGGTGATAGAGGTTTGATACACGTGTCATATTTAGAGATAAGCACTCTACTCTGCAGTCTCTTGTTCTCTGCACTTTGGCCAGTTGTGGCTTTCTAGTTTAATCACCGTCTGTTGCATGAGGAAGCTTTTCTGGTGAGAATATTCAACACCCTTTTAAGCGACAGGATCACTCACTGGCCTGACCTTGCAAGAAGGCAAAGCTGGCTGGTCTGTCTCTGTGTCCCCAGTATGGAGATCATAAGCATGGACCACCATACCCAGCTTTTTTTTTAAACCTGGTTTCTGGGGCTTGAACTCAGGTCCTTCTACTTGCAAGGCAAGTATTTTGCTGATTGAACTATCTTCCCAGACCTTTTTCCTTGAATTTTTAAAAGTTCTTTGTACAGAAAAGTCATTTGCCCTTTATTGATTTCTGTGTATTGTAGCTGTTTCCCCTAGGTTTGCCACTGACTTTGCTTATGATCATTTGTGCCATGTAAAGTTGTAAGGTGTTTCTTGGGGAGGGGGATCAGAATGAGCAATAAAAAAGGTAAAAATGGGATATAAAGAGTAATTTACAGGAAAAGCAGCTTCTAATTAAAATATGTGTGGGTGTACTGTTGAATAATTAGGAGTTATGATGATGGAACCCAGATTTGATGTTTGCATTTTATGTGTAAGTCATGTGTATGAATGAGGAGAGCAGGCGAGTTCCTCATCAAATCATACAGGAAGGGCTGGATAAAAGAGGGCAGCCAGCTGCTGGGGAAAACAGACACATAGCAAGGTGAGCAGTGAGGGGCCACTTCCCAGTCCTGCCTCAGGTACTGTCATCTCTGGGAAATGCACAAAAATGGAGGTATAGGAAGAAAGCAAAGTTTGGAAGTGACAGTCCTTAAGAAAACGGATGAATCAGTGAATAAATCAAGGCCAATTTATGTCAAATAGCTTTTCTTTTCACCATTTGCATTACACTAAATATGTCAGATTTAATTCCCCTGAAACCAATTATGTGGAGGGAATTACTGTGAATGCAGCTATGTTTGAAAGAATACCATTCATGTGCAAATGAATAGCTTACTAGTTCACAGATTGTCCAATAATGAAGGGAACCAGCAAGCTTATTTGTTATTATATCTAATTAGCTTTTATAAGTTATAAATGTAATAATCAACTGTAGAAGCAGCAGTAATCCATACCATATATTGATCACAATAGTTTGTGTGCTCCTGTAATTTGGTAGTCTGCTTTTTTGCCTTTACCAGTATTCACTATAGTTATGTAATTTTAGGTGTTATTTCGGTAGATAATATGACTCCATAACTGACCTTATTTTCTCGTCTTCACCTTTCTTCTAAATTATCAAGGGATAGGCAAACACATAAAACTGCAGCTAACACTTTATATAACTTTTGCCACAAGTTGTATTCGCCCTATCATCCTTTGGGATAGATTATAAAATATGGATTAATAGGTGAAGTAATTAAAACGTTTTAAGAACCAAAAAGCAATTTAATGGACCTTAGTAGATATTGTAGGTATTTCAGAATCCCCACATGATTACGTGCTACTTGTTTTCAGGATTATAGTTTTTTAAATGGTTTTAAAGTTTAACGCCTCAATGTTTTAATTTTCTTTCCTTGATTGATTGTGAAGCTAAAGATTTCCTCGTGTTTACCAAGCTAATTTACTCTTTTTCTAAGCTCCCTTTCAATACTCTTTTGCATATTTAAACTAACATTAAGTATCTAACATATTTGGATATGTTGATTTTCTGAAGATTAAGGAGCTGTCACCTAGAACCCAGTTTACAGTACACAGAATCTGTAGAACTTAGAGGAAGGAAACATTCCATCCCTTTGTTCCATCAACCTGGCCTCCTGGTTGGTGAAATTTTACAGAAAACCAAGGAAATTTTGGCATTCTAGACCCTGTCTTTTCCAAAAGGTGGGAAAGTTGGAAGAGGGAGCTTTTGTCTCTTGATATCCGTCCATAGTCCCTGAGTGTTTCAAACTGCCAAATCCTGGCTTCATCCCTTCTTAAATCTACTTATACTTAAAAATGTTCTCAAGTTTAAATGAACATTCTAGAAATTGGTATTTAGTATAGTGTTCTTACACTAAAAAAATACAGGGTTAACATGGTCTGATATACATCACTTTGTTTTAATGTTCTTCCTACTTTGACTTTGTTAAGAGACCCTCTACAGTGGTCCAGAAGATGAAATGTAAGCCCACTAGAGGGTCTCCCGGCTGACTCTAGGCCATTGGGGTTGCCTGAGAAACGCTGCTGCCGCTTCCCGTTACTGGAGCCTCCTCTTCATTTTATGTACTCAACCGTTCACTTCTTTTCCTTTTGTGTGCGTTTGGGTGGAATATGTTTGAGACAGTCTCATTCTGTCATCCAGGCTGACCTGGAAGTCACTATGCAGCCCAGCTTGCTGGCTTCAAACTCAGGAGGAAACTTTGGAACTCTTCCCCACAAGTGGTCTAGTGCCCTCGTGCTGCTCTGGATAGCTGAAATCCCTCGTTTAATACTCTCCTGAAGCCCTGGCATGCATAGAGTAGTATAGGTCCAAGTGGGCCTTCCTGGCTCAACATGTTCAGTCAGGGGAGTGGTAGCAGAACTAAGTGAGGAACAAAGTCTTATCTCAGCTATTTTCCCAAGGAAGCATGCAGCTACTTTTTTAAAAAATGTGTTTATTGATTCACTGAGAATTTTATAGAATGTGCATGTTGCTACTTCTGATTCCAGACATACTTGTCATCCTGTGTAATTATGAGCCAAGAGTCAACAACTTGAAACTAAACGTCCAAAGTTCTTCATTATAGATTTCACAATCCACAGCTCAGAATCATGTAGTAAAAAGCAAAATTTGGGCCCTAATGATATTCTAATTTGATACATCAACATATTTTCATTTAATAATATTAAACTGAACACTTTTTGGGGGGTCTTTTTGAGACAGAATCTCACTGTAGCCCTGGCTGACCTGGAACTCACTATGTAGAACAGGCTAGCCTCAATCTCACAGAGAGCCACATGGCTCTGCCTCCTGAGTGTTGGGACTAAGTGTGTACCATCATGTCCAGAGCACTGAATATTTTTTAAAAGAAAATTTTTGTGTATGAGTATATTGCCTGAATATATATAAGCGTAGCTATGTCATGCATGCCCGAGGAGGTCAGAAGAGGACATTGGATTCCCCTGGAGTTATGGACAGTTGTTAGCTGCCATGTGGGTGCTGGGAATCAAACCCAAGTCCTCTGCAAGAGCAGCCAGTGCTGTTAATTACTGAGCCATCTCTCCAGCCCCTGAATACTTTCTAAAAGTGATTTTTTTATTTTATGTGCATGTATGTTTGTCTGCATGAGTTATTATGTGCATCATGTGTGTTCAGGTGCCCATGGAGGCCAGAAGAGGGTTTCTCTGATCTCTTGGAGCTGGAGCTACAGGCAGTTGTGAGCTGCCCTACATGAATTCGAGGAGCAGAATTCCGGTTCTCTGGAAGAGCAGTACGGTCTCTTAATCATTGAACCATCTCTCTAGCCCCATCATTCAATACTTTTTTAAAAAAATATTTTATTTTTTATTCTTATTTTATGTGTATGAGTGTATTGCCTGCTTGTATGTGAGTGCACCCGTGTCATGCAATGCCACAGAGGCCAGAAGAGGGCTTCAGATTCCCCTGGAACTGGAGTTAAGGATGGTTCATAGCCATCATGTGGGTGCTGGGAATCAAACCCAGGTCCTCTGCAAGAGCAGTCAGTGCTCTTAACCACTGAGCCACCTCTCCAGCCCCATCATTCAATACTTTTTAGATGCTAGATATCAGTGATAAAAATGTTCAATGCAGTATCATCTGTTTTGGAACTTGCATTTAGTGGTTGAGGGTCTTATAAAGAAAATCTTTCCACCAGCATATAAATTAAAAGAGCATAGAATTAAGAACGCGTATATCTCATGGAAGGTTTTCTTAGTTTCAGAGTAAGGGTGATATTTATGCCAAAGCTGGAAAAGTTGGCTTGGGCAGAAAATAATCTGGGGGAGAAGAGTTTACGGCTGAGATTCAGTGCAGACTTTCTTTTTTTTTTTTTTTTTTTTTTTGTAGATAGGCTGTGGAAGTTTTTAAGGTGGAACTACTGCTGTCAGATCTGTTTTCAGAAAACGGCCGTACAGAATCTGAGGGGTGAGAGAATCTTGATAACAAGCATTATGATAATGCCCAACTGTGTTGAGGGCCTAGGAGTGGCTTCTTGTTAGAATAGATTGCAGATATGGTGTGGGCTTGTGATTGCATAGCAATCCTGCTGTTTCCTGTGATAGTTGTTGTTTAGATACTTTCAAGTCACTTCAGTGGTGATGGGATTGTGGGTAACTGAAGCCCTCCATCCTCCCACCACTCCTCATTGCTGCTGGCCACAGGGAGAGATCTGGCAATGGACGTAGAATTCAGGAAGGATTTCCGTACATGATGCAGAGAATCACCAGTACTTTGTGTTGGGGAGCAATGGCTAGAAGGTTCACAAGGAGGTAGGAAATAATTAAACCAGACATTGATGTTTGGTAAGATTATTGAAACAGGGCAATTTTAGCTATAGAAGGGCCCAGAAAATTACAGAACCACAGGCAAGAAGGTCAAAGAGTTAGAAATGACATGTTTAGTCCCAGAGGGTGCTTCAGGCTGGCTGGGGAAGAGTTCTCATGGGAAGCTACTCAAACAGCACACATTTGAAAGAAAGGTTACAGTGCTGGTTGGATTCAGAATTTGTGTGGTCTAGAATTTCGGTGTAATACTAATGGTGAATGACTTAGGATTTTGGTAATAAGAATTATCATGTATATAGTCAAAAGCAGTTTTTGGTTTTCTCTCCCTGCCCCCTCCGTGTGTGTGTGTGTGTGTGTGTGTATGTGTGTGTGTGTGTGTGTGTGTGTGTGTGTGTGTGTGTGTGTGTGTTTGGGGGGGGAGTACTTGTCTGTGTACCAATACATGCACATGTGTAAACATGTGGTGTAGAAGCCAGAGGGTAACATCTGGTGACTTTAGTTGCTCTTCACCTCAGTTTTTGAAACAAGGTCCCTCACTGAACCTGGAGCTCACCAATTTAGCTAGACAGGTTGACCAGCAAGCTCCAGCCATCTTCCTGTCTCTACATCCCCAGTACTAGGGTTACTGCCATGTGTGGCCACACTTGCTTTTTCCATGTAGATTCTAAGGAATCAAACTCAAGGTCCTCATGATTGCACAGCAAGAGTTTTACTGCCTCAACCAGCTAGCTATCCAACCCCTCAAAATTAGTTTTAAGAAGAAAAGATTGTGGGGGACTATCAAGGCCATTTTACAAGAAGGGAGACCTGTAGCCCACAGGCTGGGAGTTGGAGGACTAATGAGGCTGCTGTAAGTTTTATCCTAGGGATACAGAAGGACTCAGTCATGTCTAGGAAAATCCCAATTTGCCCTAGTTCACACAGATATAAAGGACACTTCTGAGACCTGAATCTACAATTGTCAGGCTCTGAAGTACGTGCTTTTCCAGTGAAAATGAGGTGAAGGAAAATGAGATCAGAGAAAATGAAGATGAGATAGAAGATTTGATGACTACAAAGCCAATGTAGAATTTGAGGGAGCCTTTTTCTTTTCCTTAAAAAAATTATTACATCTATTATTTGTGTATGTGTGCGTGTACTCACAGTTGTGTATGTGTGTGGCCGTGAGTGCCACACATATGTGAAAGAGAACATGTTGTAGGAGTCAGTCGATCTGTCCTTCTACCATGTGGGTCTTGAGGATCAAACTCAGGTTGTCAGATTTGGCAGTAAGTGCCTTTACCTGCTGAGCCATCTCCTTGGCCCAGGGGAGCTTTTTCTAACAAGATGCACAGGAAGATAGTTTTCAGGGAATTACAGAGAATTTGGCTAATAACAAAATGACTTCCCAAGCTACCATAATAGTTAAAGATATTAAACCAGTCATGTGCTAGGTAAAGATTTCATTTCATGCCCAGATGTCAAAAGAATGCTGTGTCTAATACAACTTTTGTGCTCATATACATTCATTTTCTGCTCAGATGACTACTGAGACAGTGGGTCTCTAGTCAAGTGTCTATTAGTGACTTGCATTCAGTCTTTTCTCCTTTCTCATCGTATGTTTTGTTGAGAAAGGCAGAAGCTGACCTTTGGGATGGTTCTGTTATGGTATTGCTGAGTACAAACAAGGAAACAGCAAAATGTTTATGTTTTTCATGTAAAAAATAAACCTGTGCATTTCATTTAAAGTGAATTCAATAAAATAACACCAGTGAACTATATAATAAGATCCTCTGAAAATCTCTTAGTGCACAAATGCAGCTTGTTAATTAGATAAATATGGTGACTCTTGGGAATCTGAAGCAGGAGAGTCACAGTGAATTTAGGGCCAGACTGGACTACATAGTGCTTTTTAGGCCAACCTGGGCCATAGACTGAGACCCTTTCTCAAAAAAAAAAAGAAAAAGAAAAAGAAAAAGAAAGAAAGAGAGGGAGAGAAAAGAAAGAAGAAAGAAAGAAAGAAAGAAAGAAAGAAAGAAAGAAAGAAAGAAAGAAAGAAAGAAAAAGAAACTTAGAATTTGATGGTTGCCTTTGAAAAGAATTAATCATTAAACAATTCTGGTCTTAGAAACTGTTTCTTTCCAGTATGTACAGCTGTCGTCATTAATTCCAGCTGTGTGCTTTATGTTTTATCCCTGATTAGGGCATCATTGCAGAGTATAACAAAATCAATGATGTGAAAGAAGACGACGACACCGAGAAGTTTAAAGAAGCCATCGTCAAGTTCCATAGGCTGTTTGGGATGCCTGAAGAAGAGAAACTGGTCAACTACTACTCTTGCAGCTACTGGAAGGGGAAGGTCCCCCGGCAGGGTTGGATGTACCTCAGTATTAACCACCTGTGCTTTTCCTCCTTCCTCATGGGGAGAGAAGGTAGGTGTTTAGAATTTCAGCAGCTACCTTTGGAAAGTCTACTGAGACTTTTCCCTAAATTCATAAACCAAATCAAAATATCAAAAAGATGTATGTAGGTAAAGCTAAGTTAAGACTCTTTTCCTATTTAATGGGTAAATTCAATTATTCTCCATTCAGTACTTGTAAAAAATGCTTACTTAGTACTAGATATTCACCAGTGGCATAATTGAATTAGTAGCTATGTGACAGCCCATAATAATTCTGATCACAGAATTTATGTGATACGAGTTATAACTAATAAAGCAGTAAAGATGTGGTCAGCTCTCAAAGAGATTGGGCAGGATTAGGGACCAGATCTGTGGGACTGCAGTGTCTGGAGCAGGTGTTGACCCAACCTTGTTACCTGTGTTCAGCCAAGCTGGTGATCCGGTGGGTGGACATCACTCAGCTGGAGAAGAACGCCACGCTGCTCCTGCCTGACGTGATCAAAGTGAGCACACGGTCCAGCGAGCATTTCTTCTCTGTGTTCCTCAACATCAATGAGACTTTCAAGCTAATGGAACAGCTTGCCAACATAGCCATGAGGCAGCTCTTGGACAACGAAGGCTTTGAACAAGACAGGTCCCTGCCCAAACTCAAGAAGAAATCTCCCAAAAAAGTATCTGCTCTGAAACGGTGGGTGAGAGAGACTGAGAGATTAAAATGAAAAACCCGTCTACTCATTTAGGCACTGGGTTCTGACCACCTTTCAGGTTATGTTATGAGTACTTTCTTGGGTGTAGATACAATACTGAAAGACTACCTGAGGTACTCCCAGGCCAGTGAGAGACAGACATGGCTACTTCCTATGCTGTGTGCTTGCAGCTCTGCTGGTCTAAGGACAGAGTGCTGTGGGCCCATACTGAGTTCAGATGGACTCTTGATGGAGCCACTCTAAGCTGGGCTCATGAGTTACAGAAGGATACACATTTCAGGTAGAGGGATGCACATATGGCTGGAGCCCAACGGAGAAACACCAAGGGTAGTAAGCCCATCCATCATATGGGGAGAGCAGGCAGGGCATAGATGAGAGCCTGCAGAGAAGCCTGGAAGGCTGGGTGTGGAAGTAGAGCCAGAGATGGGGTGAGGGAAAGTTGACACCTTCTAAATTTGATTGCTTCCATGGAATTGCCCTTCCCCAAGATGGGAAGTGAGATGAGGAAGAGTGTGTCAAAGGGATATGAGAGTTCAGTTTTGACTGTGTTGAGTGGAGTTGCCTGCAGAACATCAGGATAGAGCTTATCCCTGTTAGGTACATGGAATTGGAAAACATTGGTATGTAGGCAGTAACTGGAGCTGGAAAAGAGGTGGGTTATAATTAAGAGGTCCTTGGGGATTTGAGATAGGTTTTGACATCATAGTGGACAACAGATGATGCATTACCACAATGAATTTTACAGCCGGTGAAAGCCAAGTAAAGGTGATTGGGCAAGTATAGACTATCTTTCCAAAAAGTTTAATAACAAAGCAGAGATTTTATTTGGAAAAATTGGATGCCGTGTGAGTTTTCCTGGAGAGCCATGAACACGTCTGTTCATCCCAGAAAACGCACCAGTGACAAATCAAAGGAAGGATTCACCCAAACCTAGCTTAGTGAACCAGGGAGTTTATTGGGGTTACTTACAAGAGTATGGATAGAGGTTAGTTAGGGGAACTTGACTCAAAGGAAGTTGTATCACTGAAAAGCCCACCCAGGCATGGGCAAGGACACATGAAACTGCTCCCCCCCAGTTGCTTATACAACTTGCAAGTGACTTACAGGCAGCTTAGCCTGACAGAGAGACTCTCCCCAGGAATTGTTACTGATTATACAACCTTGGGGAGGACCCTTGCGAATCTTGTATAGTTCAGATTCCTGAGCCTAGTCAGGCTTGTTTGCTTCTTGTACCTTGTATGTTTTGTTTACTTCCTGAGTCTTAGGAACTTCCCCAACAAGGGAATGTTTCCATTCCGGGCCAAATAGCTACACCAGAAAACAGGACAGAAGGAAAAATCATATGGGAAAATTCTATTGGTAAGGGTAGGTATTGGGACAGAAGGAAGCATAAGGTAAAGCTTAAGAAAATAAATTTCAAATATAATATCTGTAAAACCTGAAAGGGAGGCTAATGTGTGAAGATCCATTAAGAGCTGATGAGGATGGAGGTAATTTGCAGAAGGGGCAGAGGGGACTAGAGAGAGCCCACTCCTTGCTCTTGAAAGCCATGGGCAAGGCCTTCTGTGGGCCTAGGTAGGATAGACGCTTGAGAAGAGAGTTTGGAACAGGAGAAAGGGACTTATTACGGGAAAGACTGCAGTCAACTGAAGCTTTGACTGAGACTGGAAACCTTAGTTGACCAAGAACTGGGCTGGTCCCAGGTCTCTTCACACAGTTCTATAGTTTAAGATGGAGAGTGACCCCCAGCACATTCATGTGAATATTCACACTGTCGTTAGACCATTCCTTAAAAGATAAATCCCCAAGAGTGGCTTTGAATAAAAGTAAGTCTGGTTAAATCTCTTTAGGAATTCTTGAATTATTTGGAAAGAGAGTAAATTTCCTTTTTCAGATCTTTTCCCAAATTATTTAATATTTACAAGTGTTAAATGTAAATTGGCTAGATACATTAAAATAATACTTCCGTTATGCTTTGGGGCCATTACGTTGGCATTAATGCCAACGTAAAGCAATAGAAAGGAGGAATGAGTCTACAATGACTGAGGAGAGACAAGGGGGGTGGGAACTTTCTCTGGCCCCATCAGTTAAAAGGCACTTTCTTGTGTGTAGTGAACTATAATCATTGCTTTCCAGTGATCTCGATGCCAGGGCGAAGAGTGAGAGATACCGTGCCCTTTTCCGGTTGCCCAAAGATGAAAAGCTAGATGGCCACACAGACTGCACCCTCTGGACTCCGTTTAACAAAATGCATATTCTGGGACAGATGTTTGTCTCAACAAATTACATCTGCTTTACCAGCAAGGAGGAAAACTTATGTAGCCTCATAATCCCACTCCGGGAAGTAAGTATTAAGTGGAAAAGCAACATTTTAGGCCTACTGTTTGTAATGCTTTTTTTGTGTAAACCAAGAATTTATTTATTTGTGTGTGTGTGTGTGTGTGTGTGTGTGTGTGTTGCATGCATTTGAATGTGCAGCTACATGCACCAGTACACACATATGGCAGCCAGAAGAGGACATCAGCTGTCTTCTTCCTTCACACTGCCTGTCTTGAGACAGGGTCTCTCACTGAACTAGAAGCTCACCTTTCAGCTAGGCTGGCAGGCCAATGGGTTCGTGGAATCCACTTGTGTTGGGCTGGGATTACAAGTAAGAGCAGCCATGCCCAGGTTTTTATGTAGGTTCTGGGGATTCAAACTCATACTCACACAGCAAGCTGTCTTACCCAATGAGCCATTTCCCCAGCCCCAGGATTGGTGAGCTTTTCACCATCAGCGAATATTCATCGTTTGCTGATAATGCCTGTCACCCTTTCACTGTGGCCAGGGGATGAGCAGTGCAGGCCTGGAAGCCTGTGATTCCCAAAGTGGTGACTTCTAACCTTTGGTCATTTCTGGAATTAAAGGCGGTTAGAGTTCTGGACACTTCAACTTTGTCACTTTGCTAAGATCCTCTGCAGTGAAGGGTTCAGATTTCCCTCATTCCTCTTCTTTCTTTGGAAATCTACCCAAGTAAGCAAATTTTCCCTTTTTTTTCCATATTTTAAGAGTAATGCATCATAGGAAGTTGTAAAAGTACAGACAAATAAGAAAAAATCCCCTCATGATTCCACCATGCAGAGACAACCATCATTGATCAGGTTTTTAAGCTTTTTCTATTCTTTATTGTGTACATATAAGATAATTTAAATATAAAGCAGAAATTTTAGTTTTTACTTATTTCCTTTAGCAGTAAGTATGCCTTATTTCCCTAAATCGTTAAATAGCTTTCTACCATGTAATTTTTGATGATTGCATAGTATTCCATTAAATGTGTTATATACATTATTTATTCACCTATATGGTTGTGCCTTTGCACTGTTGCTGGTTTTTCCCAGTCGCATTCTCAAAGTTAAAGACTATAAATTTCCTGAAGATGAATGGTGAATGAAAAAGAATATAAAATGTCAATCAATTGACAGATTCAATTCAGCTCATCACAGGGTCAGTATTAGAACACTGGTATATAACTAGCGTTATATCACACCTTGAGGCCAGAATAATTTGTTGGTGGTAAATTCAGAGGTGGGAAGATGACTTGTGTTTACATTTAGTGATTAAATGGACTTTGTAACTTTTTTTTATTTTTTTATTTTATTTGTATGAGTGTATTGCCTGCATGTATGTGAGTGCACTCGTGTTGTGCAATGCCACAGAGGTCAGAAGAGGGCTTCGGATTCCCCTGGAACTGGAGTTAAGGACAGTTCGTAACCTCCCTGTGGGTGCTGGGAATTGAACCCGGGTCCTCTGCAAGAGCAGTCAGTGCTCTTTACTGCTGAGCCATCACTCCAGCCGCGGACTTTGTAAATTTTTCCTGAAAATTTACCTTCTTAGTCTCTGAGATAGCCAGTTAGTGTTTTGTTTTTGTTTTTGTTTTTGTTTTCACTTAGTTCAAAGAGAAGTTTTCTTAAATTTATTTTTATTTTTATTTATGTATATGTGCATATTTGATGTATGTGGAAATAATCATGGCTCACATGTGGAGGTTAAAGGACTATTCTAGGGAACTAGTTCCCTCCTTCTACCTTTACAGAGATTCCAAGGATCAAAGTCAAGTCATCAAACGCTGGGCTTGCATAGCAAGTGCCTTTATCCACTAAGCCAAGCATAATTTTCATTATCAAATACTGCCTGGACATCATATAACAGTTACCTGGAGTGGCAAGGTTGAAAACCACTCTGGGATTAAGAGGAGACCTACTTATGCCATTGTACGGATGAAGGTTATACTTGTTCAGACTGTTTGCAGAAATGAAAAGATGCTAGCTTTGGGTAGAAAGTTGGAGCTATGGCAGATAAACCATTTAATGTTTGCCTTGAGTTTTTTTCTTAATATGATAAAGAAAGTAGTTTTCATACATTTGTGTTTGTTTGGACCTGAGTTCATGTTGTTGTGGACCTGAGTTCGGATCCAGCACCCATATAAAAAGCTGGGCATGGCAGCATGTGTCTAGTATCCTAGTGCTGGGAGGCAAAGATGGAAGGATCCCTGGGGCCCCCAGAGTCTTGGACAGGGGTTGATATAGATGTCCCATTTGAGGCTGAGCATTCAATATTCACTTAATCTCAGCATCTTGACTGGTTATGTGTCTGCACTAACTGCTGACCACTGCAGAGAGAAGCGTCTCTGGCCAAGGTTAAGAGAAGCACCTATCTATGGGCATAAGCATAAATATTTAGTCGGCAGTGAGGTGTCATTTAGCAAAACAAGAGTAGTAGGTTCCTCCTTAGGCTGAAGACTTCTTGAGCCACGGGCTTTTTACCAGTTTTACAATACCAGACCTGAATTCCTGCCTGTGGAGCAGACCTCAAATCCAATCCAAAAATAGTTGGTCACCCCCATGTCTTTTCAGGCAGGGTGAACTACTTGATGTGGGTGCTGGGAGCTGAACTCCAGTACTCTATGAGAACAGCAAGTGAGCCATCTCTCCAGTCCTTCAATGAAATTGTTATGAAAAGCAAGGAATTCCTTCACCATCTTGGTGCTACTGGCATTGCTACCCTGTGCTACAGTAGGCTGTTTAGCCATACCCCTAAGTAGGCGCTGTCACTTTTCTACTTGTGATAACCAAACATGCCTATAGTTGCTGAAAAATGTCTCCTGAGGAAGGAGTTGGGCATACAGTAACTCTCAGTTTAGAACCACTAGTTTAGAAAATCCCAGAACAGATAATTCTAGTTTGTTATAGAAACTCAAGTTTGATTTGTGTGAACCATTGTATTTTATTGATACAGAGTCAAAGAGTACCAGTTAGCCTTGCTCAGACGCACTTGGGTCCTCCAGGAAGTTAGGATTTGGGCTGCATGTTCCTGCAGCACTGCCCACGGGCTTCTAGTCCTTTCCACACAGTGCTGTTTGCTTCATGTTTCCGCAGGTGACAATTGTGGAGAAGGCCGACAGCTCCAGTGTGCTCCCCAGCCCTCTGTCCATCAGCACAAGGAATAGGATGACCTTCCTGTTTGCCAATTTGAAAGACAGAGACTTCCTGGTACAGAGGATCTCAGATTTCCTGCAGCAGACAACTTCTAAAATATACTCAGACAAAGAGTTTGCGGGAAGCTACAACAGTTCAGATGATGAGGTTGGTGGGAGACACCCCAGTATGGTGGGAATTTCCTGTGTTCAGGCCTAAAGTGTTCACTTCCTGGTCCAAATTGTTTGTCAGGCCTCACAACGGTGCTAAACTAAGCCACCTACCCTGGTACCCATCACAGTGTCTCAGCAAGATTTCCTGTAAATTGTAAGAAATTGGTATTTGAGATCATAGATCTAAAGAAACCTTCAAAACCCAGTGTGGTGGCATACACCTTTAGTCCCAGCACTCAGGAGGCAAAGGCAGTGCAATCTCTGTGAGACAGGTCAGCCTGGTCTACATAGCAAGAACCAATCCTCCAGCCTCAGCTTTAGCTGGTGTTATAGGCTTATACTACCAGGCCTAGTTTAAACCTTTTTTTTTTTTTTAAGTTGAAGATATTAAACGATTTGTCTTGATTATATAGCAATAGTCTTGTGCAGCTAGTGACATTGTTAGAAAGGAAACAGAAGTCACTAAACAGAATCAGACCTGAAATACAGGATTATATGACAATTTTCCTATGATAAAAGGCATGTAGGCCCTGGACCACCATCCAGGGAAGCTAGAACACTGAGAAGACAGATAGCGAGAGTGATGGAGCAACACTGTTAGCTGCAGTGTGTTGATATGGTAAGATCGCATAGGACATCCCTGTCCTTGCCACCTGGTCCATTTATGTGGACATTTTTGAGGTACCAGAAACTACCCAGGAAGTACAGCAATCAGTCTTCTGAGCTCCAGATTCCCCTGTGTCATGCTTTGCATGTATGCAAATCAGTGAGGCAAACAGACATCCTCTTTGTTGAAAAAATACAAAGGAAAGAAATTTTATCGTTACTTGACAATGATAACCTAGTTTCTCTTAAGATCATGTAAGTCTTTCATCTTTTGGGAGGTGGGCAGAGGTTAAGGCAAGGTCTCATATAAAGCAGACTGGTCTGAAACTTGCTGTGTAGCTAAGAATCAGAACCTTTAGCTTCTGATCCTCCCGCCTCTACCTTGTAAGTGCTGGAATTACAAACCTAGGGCTTTGTTAAGCAGGGACTTCACCAGCTGAGCTACATCCCCAGCCCTGGGAAACCTGTTTGAGCCTTGAAACCCCAGTCTAATCTCCTCAGAAATGTTGACATGTTGGCATGTATTAATTTTGTTTCTCTATGGCTGTGATAAACTATGATCAGAAGCAACCTGGGCAAGAAAGGGATTTTTGCATCTTACACGTCCAAGTAACACTCCGTTTTTGAGGGAAGTCAGATATGAACTCAGGGCTGGAACCTGGAGGCAGGAATGGAAGCACAGACCTTGGAGGAATACTGCTTACTGGCTTACTCCTCTGGCCTGCGCTCTGCCTGCTTTCTTATACAACCCGGGACCTCCTTCCAAGAGTGACACCACCCACAGTGGGCTAGGCTTTCCCATGTCATTCGGAAGTCAGGAAAATGCCCCACAGATATACCCATAGATCAGTCAGATGGAGGGAATAACTTAATTGAGTTTCCCAAATGTGTCAAGTTGACAATGGAAGCTATCCAGCACATGGCATTGCTCCTGTTTCTTCATGTAGCAAGGAAGCATCTAGAAAAACATGACCCAGTTGTTAATATCTAGATAGAGGACACAGGTAGCTGTACTGCCCAGGTCTGGCCTTGCCTTACTCCTCTGCACATCACAGGTGTACTCCCGGCCCAGCAGCCTTGTGTCCTCCAGCCCTCAGAGAAGCACGAGCTCCGATGCTGATGGAGAACGCCCTTTCAACCTCAATGGCAACAGCATCCCCACAGCCACACAGACCCTGATGACCATGTACCGGCGGCGCTCTCCTGAGGAATTCAACCCGAAATTGGTAGGTGCCTCTTTCTCTTCCCAGAAACTTTCTATATTAGAACAATACCACTCAAATTATTTTTTAACATTTATTTTATTTATTTATGTATGTTTGTGTCTGTGTGAATGTATGCACACGTGTGTGGAAGTGGCCTACCTGTGCATACATAGGCTGGAAGAGGACATCAGATCCCTGGGAGCTGGAGGTATAGGCGTTTTTTTTTTTTTCAGGGTGTCTGGCTTGTTATGTGGGTGCTGAGATCCAAACTTCAGACTTGATGACTGTGTAACAAGCACTCTTGGTCATTAAGCTATCTCTCCAACCTCCCAATAAAATATTTTTAACTTAACAAAACTCATAAATATCTATATAAATGATCATAAATATCTATAGAAATATCTCCAATAGATGTTTTCATAAAAAGTTTTAATCTGAATATGTCATTAGGTTCCAGAGCGCTTTACAGAAGGGTACAAGTCACAGAGCACCAGTGCAACTACCTTTCTTTTCTTTTCTTTTTTTGGCCTTGTTTTGTTTTTTACTATCGCACAAGTCAACCAATAAATGAGTGCACAACTTCTCAGCCCACATTTAAAAAAAATCACTAATTTGTTTTTCACTTGAAGATTTAGACATAAAACCATAAATATAATTAACATTCTGCTGTCCATTAAATAGGATTCTGAGACTGAGCAGAATGCTTATTGTCAGGAAAGAACTCCAGAAACTGACCTCTGCGTACTCACGAGTTCTTCTCAACCTGAATGTGTTCTTCCATTATTACGATTCTCATTGCCACCCTCCCCAGTCCTGTGGGGGTGTAGTCATGTTCCACTATGTCTTTCAGGCCAAAGAGTTTTTGAAAGAGCAAGCCTGGAAGATTCACTTTGCTGAGTATGGTCAGGGAATCTGCATGTACCGCACAGAGAAGACGCGGGAGCTGGTGTTGAAGGGGATCCCAGAGAGCATGCGTGGGGAGCTCTGGCTGCTGCTCTCAGGTAGGTTGGGCCAACAGTACTTCCACCGTGCATCCAGGGTGCTTTGAAATAAGCAGACCCAAATCAGAGCTAAAGCTCATTTCCTCACCAGGCGGTGAAGTTGCTCAATAATTCTTCCCTCTGTAGGAAAGCACCCAAGGTCAACAGTTCACCATCCTCAAGTTCTGTAAACTCCTTGGTTTTTCAGTGAAGCTGTGTAGGGTGTGGAGACAGAATCTGAAGTATAATACTTTGTGTGTTGGTGAGTTATTTCCTCCTGGCTACGTCAACTTCATTGAGAGTATTTCAGTGGAACCTGTTGGGTAAACTTTTCCTGGGGAGACGTGAACAAGCATCTTCTCACTCCAGAAAGTGCATTAGTGATAGACCAAAGGAAGAATTCTCTCAAGTCTAGCTTGGCACACCAGTAAGTTTAACTGGACCTACTTATAGGAACATGGGTGAAAGGTTGCTTACAGAAGTGTGGACAACTTTCTGGCATCTAAACCACTGAAGAAAAGTCTCTCCCAGAAGTGGGTGACTGCTTATATATCCTTGGAGAGGGGATGGGCCTCAGGAGTCCCTCCCCACTTCACAACTGATGGTCAGTGTGCCCAAACTTTGTGTGGGTCTTGTGGAGGTAATCACAGCCGCTGAAAGTTTAAGAAGGCAACAACCCTCCTTGTCTTCAGGGTTGCTTTTCAAGACCCCAGTCACCGCCTAAAAACATAGATGGTGTTTATGCTGGTCATTTTTTGTCAACTTGACAAAACCTAGTCACTCAGAAAGAGGAAACCTCAATTGAAGAATTTCCTCCACTGGATTTGTATGCACCTCTGGGGTGTGTTCTTTATTGCTGATTGATGTAGGAGGGTCATGGTCACTGTGGGTGGTGCCATCACTGGGCTAGTGAGCCTGGGCTGTATATGAAAAGTAGCTGAGGAAGCCAGGGGAAGCAAGCCAGCAAGCAGCGTTCTTCCATGCTTCAGTTCCAGCCTCCAGGTTCCTGTCTTGACTTCCTGCCTTGACTTCTCTTGATGGTGGACTGTAACCTGTAAGCTGAAATAAACCTTTTCCTCCCCAAGTTGCTTTTGGTCCTGTGTTTATCACAGTAGCAGAAAGCAAATCAAGACAGTATTCCATCCAACGTAAACCACGTTTTTTTCCTATACATGCATACACACATACCTATGATAAAGGTTAACTTAATGATTAGGTATAGTAAAATTAGCAAACAATAACTAATAATAAAATAAGACAAAGAGGCTGAGGCAGGATGATCTCTGTAAGTTTTAGGCCAGCCTGGATACACAGTGAGTTGAGACCCAACCTGGGCTACATAGAAAGGCCCTATCTCAGGAAAAGAAAAGAGAAGCTCAAATTCTAGGGAAATCATCTCTAATTAGTGTCCTCTTATACATCTTCTTCTATCTTCCTTATTTTGGTGAATTGGTCACCTTGACAACCAGGTTGAGATCACTGACAGAGTAAAAGGAAAAATTTCATTTTTATCCTCATTCAAATTAGAAGTTATTTATAGCTATATTTTAGATGAAAATTAATTACACCAGGAAATAATATATAGCAACATCATCCAGCCCAGTTACACAGAGAGAGATTCTGGTAGGGCTGTACTTAGTGTTTTATCTAACAGGGGGCTCTGTGTGACCAGAGGGTGGCATGTCTACACACTGCAACAAAGGATACTTTGTTGTCAGAAATAGTCTCAAGGGTGGGATTTACATGGGAGCCATCCTGCTCATAAGTATAGTCCAGTTTCCAGTCGGGGAGCCACCTTGGGACCTATCAGCCTGACCCTTAAGGCTGCTGCATCTGGACCCACTGAAATCAAGTGCAGCACACCCCCTGGGAGAACAGAACAGAAGCCATTGTGAAGATGCTGTCAGCCAGTCTGCTTTTGCCTCAACTGATATGACAACTGATATGTCAGGCCAGCCCAGCCCACTCCATTGATTGTCAGGGACAAGGACTGGGCCAGCTCACTAGTTTGGAGACATCAGTTTCTAAACTGAAATGTAAATGTTTACTTGGTCCTTCTATACATACTTTATTGTTTTCATTTTAAGTAATATTTCTAGTGAGCTATAACTAAAAATTCATCAAAGTGTGCAATGTGGTGATCTCTAAAATATCCTCAAATTGTGCCGTAATCAGCACAATTAATTCTAGAACACTCTCATCATTTCCCCCAAAACACCCCATGCCGTTTGTCAATTAGGGTTTCCACCCAAGACCCTTCCTGGTCCTGAGCAGTCTCAGCTTACTTTCTATGTCCATAGATTTGTCAGCTCTGAGTAGCTCATATAGATGGAATCACACATTATGCAGTTTTGAGTGATGGCTTCTACTTAGAATAATGTTTGCAGAATCCGGTCGTGTTGTAGCATTTTATCAACATCTCATTCCTTTGTAGAGCCAAATGTTGTGCCATTGTGTTTCTGTGCTGTACTTCATGCATTTTCCACTTGAACTTGTTAGGTTGTTCCTTGTTTGCACTGAGTTTTGTTGCTGTGAATGTTCACATGTGGCTGCTTGGTATTTTCATTTCTCTTAAGTATGTACCTGGGAGTAGAATTTCTGGCTCTTTGGGAAACTGTGCTTAACCTTTTAAATAACTGCTGGGCTGTTTGCCAAAGCAGCTGCATTTTTTTACATAACCACTGGCAAAGTGTGAGAGTCCCAACACTTTGGTGTCCCGTCTTACCAACACTTGCTGCCTTTTTATTGAAGCTATCCTACTGAGTGTGAATTGGGAATTGTGGGTTTTGGTTTGATTTGTTTGTTTTAGTCTTGTTATTGTTATTGCATTTTATTTTTTAATCTAATAACTTTTATTTTTTGAGAATTTCATACATGTATATAATATAATTTGATCATATCCAGCCCCATTCGCCTCTCTAATTCTTCCCCAGTTATCCCCCTTCCACTACATCTCTTTACTTCGTATCTTCTCCTTTTTTCTTTATTTATTTTTCTTTTATTCCTTCCATTCTCCCTTCCTTTTATAACTCACCAAATCAAATTAATGCTGCCCATAAATGCACATGGGCAATTCATTGGAGCCTGTTCAGTCTACCAGGGTCCACACCTATGAAGAAAGGTGACTTTTCCCTTCCTCAGCACCATCAACTATCAGTAGCTGCTCAGCTAGTGCAGGGCTTCATGAGTTCATGAGGGTATCCTTCCTGTCATGTTCAGAAGACATCTCATTCCTTTGTAGAGCCAAATGTTGTGCCATTGTGTGTCTGTGCTGCAGAGACACATTGTTCGCAGAAATCCTTCCAGACCTCCAGCTCTTCCAAACACTGAGCCTTTGGTGGTGGTGGTGGTGTGTTACTCAGATGTCCCATTTAAAGTTGAGTACTCCAGTAACTTGCTATCTGCACTTTGTCTAGTTTCAAGTCTTCTAATTGTGGATTTGATTTACTCTTCAATCATTTATTGGCCATTTATGTAGCTTGTCTGTAGAAATATCTACTCAGATCCTTTGCTTGTTTTCGATTGGGTAATATTTCAATTACTGAATTGAGAGGGTTTTTAAGCTTATTTTAGATGAGTCCGATTTTGAGATTTTCAAACTTTTCCATTCCATCAACTGTTTTCATTGTCTAAATGGTATCATTTGAAGCACACTTTTTTTTTTAATTTTGAGGAAGGATAATTTTTCTTTTATCACTGTACTTTCATGGTATGAAAGTGTATGCCTATGTTTTCTAGCAAGAGTTTTAGAGATTTAGCTCACTGGTCCATTTTGAGTTAATTTTTTATATGGTATGAAGAAGTGGCTGTTATAACCACTTTTTCCATATGGATACTTGGTTGTCCTAGAATTATTTGTTGAAAGCACTGCTTTCCCCATTGAATTGTCTTAGCATCCTTTCAAAAAGGAAAAAAGAGCATAAATATGAGAATTCATTTCTAGACTTTGTGTTTTAGTCCATAGATTTGTATCTGTCTATGCCAGCAACACACAGTTTCAGTTACAATAACCTTAGAGTAAGTTCTAAAACCAAGAGTTGTGAACCTGCCAACACTGTTGTTCTTTTATAAGATTGTTTGGGCCACTTTGTGTATCTTCAATTTCCGCAAGAATTTTAGGATCGGCTAATTGATTTCTACAAAAGGGGCACCCGGGATTTTGATTGATACAGTGTTGTCTGTAGATGATTTTGGAAAGTTTTTCTGTCTTAACAATATTGTCTTCTAATCTATGAACAGAGTATTTTTCTGTTTATTCGGGTCTTTGTTAATTTCCTTGAGCAATGTTTATAGCTTGCAGTATACAAGTCTTGTGGTTATTTCATTCCACTTCTAAATATTAAAATTTTTGATCCTACTATAAATGGAATTATTTTCTTACTTTCATTTGAAGATTGTTCATTATAGGATATAGATAGAGAATTTATTTTTGTATATTTATCTTGTTTCCTGTATCTTCAATGAATTCATTTTTCCATTGTGGTTATTTCTATTTCTCTGATAATTACCGAGGTGGAGCGCCTTGTCATGTATTTGTTGGCCTTTCTCACATCTTTTTTTGAATAATATGTGTTCCTTCACCCACTTTTAATTGGGTTTTTGCTGATTTGCTATTATTTTGTTTGAGTTTTGGAGCGTTTTGCTATTGGGTTTATGAATTCCATATATATTATATGTATTTAATTATTTTATTTATTATTAATGGGTTTATGTATAAGAGTGTATGATGTCTATGTGTTTGAGAGAGAGTTCTGGTAGGGATGTACCCCAGTGCACAAGTGAGGGTCATAGGACAACTGTTTGGGGAGTTGGTTCTCTGCTTCCACCATGAATTCCAAGGATGGTCAGGATTGAACAGCAAGTGCGTTTACCCATTGAGCCATCTCACCATCCCAAATTCCTTGTATATTTTTATATTGTGGATGATTTCCCCTTGTTAGATACATGCATTTCATGGATTTTCTTCCATCCTATCAGGTTTCTTGCATTCTATTGATCATTTCCTCTGTTGAGCAAAGTTTTTTTACTTTCGTGGGATCCTTTCTGCTTTTATTTCTACTGCCTGTGCCTGGTGGATATGATTGGTGTCATAGTCACAAAATATTTGCTCTGACCAATATCAAGAAATATTTTTCCTGCTCTCTTCTGGTAGCTTTATAGTTTTAGAACTCATGCTCATGTCCTTGATTCATTTTGAGCTGAGATGTGGTGTGAGGTAGGGGTCCAATTCCATTCTTCTTCATGTGAGTATCCTGTTTTCCCAAGGGCAATATAAACTTATATTTAGAGTCAGCTTTAGATATTTGCATACAGAGGCTTTCTGTCACTAAGGATCTTATCAAAAATGTCTCAGATCCATGATTCTTGGCCCAACTCTACCTCTCCATCCTCATGGCCCAAAGATCTCCCATCAGTGCCAGGGACTCCTCATTACTAGAAAGATCTTCAGGATTGACCACAGCTTTAAAAAGTTCTCCAGTTCACCTCTGCTTCCTCCTACCCTTCCATTACTACTGCCAAGTCCCTCACAGCTGATCATTTAGTGAACTGCTCTCAGAGTTCTTTTGAAAGTCATTCTTCTTTCTCAAGGTGCAATTTTAACAGACTCCCTTCTCCTATAAATTAAAAAGCAAAGAAAGCAACAATGAATGAGAACTCTGCCTGGCTCCCTCTATTTACCTTCTCTTTTCTAGTCCTAAGCACTGCCCATGTAAGCTCCTTGGAATACATTTTTATGAACTCTAGCTTGGGGAGGAGGGCGAGAAGGGTAGTAGCCATCTTGCTTTGGAGCTGAATGAGGGAAGGAGTCCACAGGCAAGTTAGCCAGGCTAGTGTAATTGAAACACACCATATCTGTATGATTTTTTTCAAATTTCCATTGATTGGGAGGAAAGAAGAGAATTTCAGGAAGTCATACCTGGCTGTATCAAGAGCAAGGCAGGACTTTCACTTTTCTGATGTTGTATTTGTTGTGTGTTTCCCAGGGGCCATCAATGAAAAAGCCACACACCCCGGCTACTATGAAGACCTTGTGGAGAAGTCCATGGGGAAATACAATCTTGCTACTGAGGAGATTGAAAGGGACTTACATCGCTCACTTCCAGAACATCCAGCTTTCCAGAATGAAATGGGCATCGCAGCTCTGAGGAGAGTCTTAACAGCTTATGCTTTTCGAAATCCCAACATAGGGTATTGCCAGGTAAACATCAAGAGCTTATGTTCCGAGGAGGTCTCTAGTTACCTCTGTTCTTGACCCCAGTAACAGTCTCAGTTCTTGTGCTCCTAAAGAAGAATCCAGATGGGGCACAGGAGTAGATCAAGCAGTCGAGAGTTTAATTAGAGCAAACAACAAGGCCAGAGCCTGCCATTGGTCCAAATTTAGCAAGTTGTATGTCTCTTCTCCCAGTTGCTCCTCCACTGTGCCTTCCTCAGAGTGGATGCATAAAGGAAAGGGGCTGCTTTTCTCAGAAGACTGTTTTACAAAGAATTCAGTCTGTGTGTAAGTGGATGTATAAGATGTAAGAATATGTATAGGAGTTTAAGTACCCCTAAAGTTGAGAAGTTTACTAGGGGAAAGGGCAACAGCACTCTGTGCATGCATTTGTCTGTTCTAATTAGGCTGGACTGCCCATTGACCCTTGGGGGGCCTTGAGCTGGCCCACCCTCTCTGTTCATTATGTCCTCTCCTTTTTAGGGCCTGTTGGTCAGTCCTTGACAGAACTATTCTCCCACTTCACATTTATACTGAAAAACTAAAATTGTTCCATTTGCTAGCAGACAGCAGGAAGGAAAGTTGTGTGGCTAGTGGAGCAGTCATGCATCAGGTGCCTCAACCCTGGCACCATTGACATTGTGAATTTGATAACTCTTATGAATGCTTTCCCCTGTACTGTTGAATGTTTAGCAACACCCCCCACTCCTATCAGCCAGTCGAGTGTAGAACACCCCAATGTGGTGATTAAAATGGCCTCTAGATATGGCCCTGAGGAGCGCTTACCCTGAGCTGAGAACTACTACCCCCAAAGGGAGCCCCAAGACTAGAGTGGCCTTCCTGCAGCATCGTTTGTCTAGCTGAGAGACCAAGGAAATACCTTTCTGGTCACTCCCACCTGTCATCCCATCCTGCAGAGAGCATGCCCCAACTCTGCAGCATGCCATTGGGGAGTACCCTCTGTTCCTACTCTGCATCTTCTTAAGAAGTCACAGTTTTCATATGCCCAGGTTCTATTTTAATACACGTTAAAGTAAATGTTTAGCTTGGACTAACATAAAAATGTAACCCACATAAAGTTAAAATAATTTCTTGTACTAGTATATAAGTGACAGTTTGGGCAGCTCCAAGATAATTAATGTCATGTTAGACTCAAATATCACATTTTTCAGTGGTCTATCCATTGCAAAGCTAAAGAAGGCCTAACTGCTACATGTGTGCAGGTGTACACACACACACACACACACACACACACACACCACACACACACACACACACACCACATTCCTGTCTCTCTTACATACACTCATCTTTCTCGTACACACGTACATACACACACATCCCTGCCACCCTCCTAACCCCCCCACACACATACACACTCACACTCACACTCACACATACAAGTACATGTATGTACTTGCCTTCCTGTATCACATTATTTATCATTTTTCACATTATCTGTCTTTTGATAGCACTTAATTTAAATAATCCTCAAATTGATTCATTACTCTTCACATTTTTGTTTTTCCTCTGATTTTAGGCAGGTAAGATTGTTGTCTTCATGTCTCTTGACTCTCTGATATTTAGTCCAGAACCTGTTATAAAGTGGAACCTTGAAAAACCGGTCTTGAATGACTGAGGAACTAACTATGACCATGCCATAGACTAGAACTGGCAGGCCAATTATCAAGTGGAATTTTAATAACAATTTTGTTTGGAATGCGAAGACTTTCAAGAAAACCTTTTAAACCAAGCACCTTGCGGGGGGGTGGGGGGAGTTTATCTTGCAGAAGTCTGATGAACAATTATTGGTTTCTAGAAGATCAAAAGAAAGTCAGGATTCTAATAGAATAGAAATTACTTTTATCTTCTGATATTCATTTTTTAATTAAAGGACTATTAAGAAGTTCAGCCACTGAGTGATTATGAGCTATCTGATAATATCTTTTAATAAAATAAAGTTGCTTTAGAATTTAAATCACCTTCACTTATCTTGATCATCTTTTGTAGATGAAAATAACAGAGGAAGGCTTCAACTTTGAAAGGTTTCCTTGTTCTCTGAGAAGAGCCTGGAGCCCTGTGTGCTTGTTTACAGAAACCTCTATGGAAGGCTAAAAGGAAATATTTATGTCAGCTGAGTTAAGGATTAAGAATACTAAGAGGTTTTAACAGGCAAAGGCTTTGTCAAACAGCCTTTAGGCAAAGATTCTGAAATGTGGGCCTGACTGTGCATGTTTGAGTCAAGTAAATAATAAAAACCCTTAGCAGTTACTGGCTCAAGGGCTAATGGTTTTTTGTTTTAAAAGGTCATAAACAAAACAAAACTCATAAGCCTACTTAACAGAACTTTTGTGGTGGGGCCTAGAGAAAATGGCTCTGCATTTAAGAGCACCGACTGCTCTTGGAGAGGACCTAGGTTTGGTCTCAGAACCACATGGCAGCTAACAACTATCTGAACTCTGGTTCCAGGGGATGTTACAGGGGCTACAATGCCCTCTTCTGGCCTCCATGGCCATTGTATGGCATGGATACACGTACACACATGCAGGCGATATACTCATACACATAAAATAAAAATAATAAAGAAAGAAATCAGAGGTTTTGTGTCCTGTAAAGCCTAAACTTGTTTCTGGCTTTTCAGATGAGTTTACTGGCACCTGTAAGAATAACTGTGATTTTTTATGTTAATGTTGTGAGTTCACTGTGTGAGGAACATCAACACACAGGCTGGTGTCTTTCCATAATGTCAGAATGTATTGAATAGAAGAAGTTCAGAAGGTACAGAGAGGGTTCAATGACAGCAGTTTGCCAGGTAATCCCACTTTCTTGGCAATCTGGTTGAGGTGAACATGGGCGTTTTTTTTTTTTATTCCAATCTTAATCACTTAATTACTAATTACTTAATTACTAACTCTTATACCAAACATTTCACAGTACTGTGTGTTGCAGAATGTATACAAAGGTTAAAGAGACTGCAGCAGAGTTTCAAGAGATTTCAGAAGTAGACTGATAGAAACATAAATAGAGTCTATATTGATAAGATGAGGGACCCAAAGCAGTGCTGGAGAGTCTAGGACTGTGAGTCACAGATCTGATAGCAGAGCTGTAGAGTTTTGTTTAGCCACAGAGGCAAAAGGGCAGGTCCAAGTCAAGAGGAAGAAGCAGATGGATTGAGGTCCTGACAAGTAGGCCATGTCTACAGTGGGAACAAAGCCTAGCTGAAGCTCCTGGGAACATCAGGAGTTCTCTGCCTTCCTGCATACACTGAGTGTCAGATGGCAGGTCGCCGGGGCGTTCCCATGGCATTCATGCCAATAAATGTATGTGGCGGTACCCTTTCTGCTCCCAAGAATAAGTCATTTATCTGTCTGTACAGTCATCCTCCACCCTCAAAATGGAATCAAAATGCTCTTTGTAAAATGGAATCTCTCATGGCAAGGAACAATCTGAAACACCACTGCTTTACACAACATTGAGTAACTTAGCAAGGCACAGCCTCTCAGCAGTTAAGGAAATTGCATCTATGTAAAATACCCTTGATACAGCAGTGTGTTTGATGGAGTCCTCTTTCCTTCCATAGGCCATGAACATTGTCACTTCAGTGCTGCTTCTTTATGCCAAAGAGGAAGAGGCGTTCTGGCTACTTGTGGCCTTGTGTGAGCGCATGCTTCCCGATTACTACAACACCAGAGTTGTTGGTATGTGGTTACCATCTTGTCCTGGGTCTCAACAGGAAAACTATTTTTAGCACTTTTTATTTCCTCTTTGTTATGAGAAAATATCTAACAAAAAAAATCAACCATAAAGGAGGAAAGGCTTATTTTGCCTCAGAGTTTCAACATACAGTCTATCATGGAGGTCAAGGCTGCAGACCATGACTGATGACACTGTGTCCCTAATCAAGAAACAAAGAGAAGTGAATACTGGTGCTTGCTTTCTCTTTTTTCCCTTTTATATTCAGTCCAGGACCCCAACCCTTGGGATGGTGCTGTCCACATTCAGGGCACATCTTCCCTCCTCAGTTAAGCTTCTCTGAAGCACCCTCATAAGAATGCCCAGAGGTATGTCTCCTAGGTGATTCTAAATCCAGTAAAATTAACTACCACAGATGTGTGTTAGCAGCTGATATTACCATTTCTAGTCCCCGTCAGCCACCAGAGGTTGAAGCTGCTCCCATTTTCCTTGATGGAAATGAGGGAATTGGAGTTAGTGAAGTAGGTAAAAGAAAGAGCTCCATGTAGCCCAAGAGAAAACACATGTATTGAGTTGCAGAAATTATCTTAGAAAACACTTGATGTGGATGTCACTCTGTAAACACACTGAGCTACACCAAAGTACACCAACCATTACCCCAAAGTATTTTGACAAAAAGCATTCTTTAATAAAAGACAGAATCTACAGAAAGCTGAGATATTAAAAAAAAAAGTATTGTCTGGAATGGAGAAGTTAGTACAGAAAAGTTTATCCAAAGATATGTTTCTAAGGCATATTTTAGAAAAGGTTTCTCTGCAAAGCAAATAGACATTGAATTTTGGCTTTACCTCTTTGAGTCTCTTCAAGTATTAGCCATTCATTTTGGCAGCCATTCATTTTCCTTGGTGGCATACACACACACACACACACACACACACACACACACACACAATAATTAACTTTATGCCATGAAAACTTTGGCAACTGGTGATAGATGATAGATGATAGATAGATAGATAGATAGATAGATAGATAGATAGATAGATAGATGGATGGATAGATAGATAGATAAATCTGCCTGTCTCTTGTGCTTTGTCTGTACTTTTAAACTTTTGCACACATATTTGGTTCATCAAATATATTATCTTAAAATGTCAGTAAATCAGTGATAAAGTATACAGATGGAATCCCTTTAATTTTTAAAAATAGCTTTTTAAAAGGGACTCAGGTCTTGGGACCACACATCTGAAGAGTATTTTTTATATAAATAGGAGCTTACCAAGTGTGATGGTTAGTTCTAATTGTCAACTTGACACAACCCAAAATCACCTGGGATGAGATTCTCAGTGAGGCATTGTCTAGATCAGGTTGGCCTGTGGGGATTGTCTTGATCACCTTAGTTGATGCAAGAAGACCCATCCTGAAAGTGGACGGCACCATTTCTGGTTTGGGGCCCTGGACTGTATGGGTAGCAAAGGCTAGCTGAGCACCAAGCATGTGTGTGTTCACTTCTCTCTGCTCTTGGCTGTGATGTGGTGTGACCAGCTCCTTCAAGTTCCTGCTGCCTTGACTTCCCCACAATGATGGGCTGTAACCTGGAAATGTGAGCTAAAATAAACTGTCTCCCCTAAACTGTTTTTTGTTGGGGTCTTTTATCACAGTAACAGAAAGGAAACTAGAACACCACAAAAGCTGTGCAGAGGCACCTTTGGAACAACTTAGATATGTATTTTATGCCTAGACAAAGTACCATGTAGCCAACAAAATAATTAACTTTATGTTATGAAAACTTTGGCAACTGGATTTTTCCAGAAGCCCTTATTGCTGTCATAGTATTTCTCTTTTATGATAAGAAAGCAGAATAGGAAGACCCCAGAAGGAGAGGAGAAAGACAGAACTAACCAGGTGACTCAACTGTGTGGACATCTTGATCTAGTCATACAGTAATGACAGGACAGTTAGCAGAAAGGAACTGGACTGTGAACTGGGTTGTTAGAGTCGAGCCATCTGTTGGCCTCTTCAGTAATAAGGTGCGGGGCTAACTTAATACCATTTTGTGTCATTCGCTCAGGTGCCCTGGTAGACCAAGGGGTCTTTGAAGAGCTGGCACGAGACTATGTCCCGCAGCTGTATGACTGCATGCAAGACCTGGGTGTGATTTCTACCATTTCCCTGTCTTGGTTCCTCACACTGTTTCTCAGTGTGATGCCCTTTGAGAGTGCAGTGGTGGTTGTGGACTGTTTCTTCTATGAAGGAATCAAAGTGATATTTCAGTTGGCCCTTGCTGTGCTGGATGCCAATGTGGATAAACTACTAAACTGCAAGGATGATGGGGAGGCCATGACTGTGTTGGGAAGGTAAAGTGTTAAGTCTAACTCTGAAACCATCAATTAAGTCAGCTTGACTTAATTGATCATAAGGTCCACTGTTGTTCTCTGTGGTCAAGGATATAGTTGTATATGTTTTTAATTTCTATTTTTATATTTATTTATGTATTCACTTATGTGTATGTGTCTGTATGTGCAATTGTATGTGCACATTGTGTACAAGTGCGTGGTACCTGTGCGTATATGCAGAGGGCATTGGGTGTCCTCTTCCTCCTGTTCCTTTGAGGCAAGGTCTCTCCTTGAACCTGGGACTTGTGTTTTCTTGGCTAAGCTGGAAGCAAGCAAGTTCCAGAAAACTTTCTGTGTCTACCTGCCTCTGAGCTGGGGTTACAGGCATGCTCTGGGTACCAGCTTGTTAGGGGGTGCTGGGTGGGGTCCAAACTCCAGCTCTCAGTAATTGTATAGCAAGTGCTCTTAACCACTGGGTCATATCTCCAGACCAATATGGTTTTTCTTTATAAGGAAAGGGACTTAATTTATTTTTAAGAAGTTGGAGCAAGGCCTGGTGTTGCATACAATAATCCCAGCTATTCAGAAGCTATTCAGAGGCACAGGATAACATGTTCAAAGCCATCCTGGCCAACTGAGTGAGACCCAGTTTTAAAATAACAGGACTGAGAATGGAGAGCATGCAAGGGCCTTAGGTTCATCCTCATACTGCAAAGATAAAGAGAAGGAAAAAAACTCCAAACAAGAAAATCTTAGTTTTTGTTTTAATATATATAGTTTGAGAACTGTAACAGAGGCATCCCCAGGCAGGCAGTCAGTGACTGCTGACTCACTTGTTCCCTCAGGTACTTAGACAGTGTGACCAACAAAGACAGCACACTGCCGCCCATCCCGCACCTCCACTCCCTGCTCAGTGACGATGTGGAGCCATACCCTGCGGTAGACATCTTCAGACTCATAGGAACTTCCTACGAGGTAGGCCTTGCATCCCAGCTATGTGGTAACAGTGCCCTGGAGTTACCACCTGGCTCAGCTGGTCATGAATTTCACAGTGCCTTTAGTAACTGTCTCAGCCCATCTTGTGCTGCCATCACAGAATACCACAGAACAGCTAATTTATAAAGAATAAAAAATGTGTATCTCACAGTTCTAGAGACTGGGAAGTCCAAGGCCAAGATGTGTTAACAGGTTAGAGTCCTGTCTTTCTGCTTTCAAGATGGCACCTTGGCCTCCAGATGGGAAGAATCATGTCCTCCCAGAGCAGAAGAACAAAAGAAGAGAGACCCTGTTCCTGCACTACCCCATGAGGACCAATCCCTTCTAAACTAAGCAACTAAGCACCCTCAGAGAAGCCCCTCTTCCCAACACCGTTGCACTGGGGATTAAGTATCAACATAAGGTTTGAAGGGACAGAAATACTCGGACTGTGACCTAACCCTAGCTTTACATTATGAAAATCAGTTGTCAGAAGAAGGTGACAGCCTGTGAACTAACAGTTTTGATCTCTAGAGGTGAAAACTGAATGAAACCTGGGATTTCTGGTGGGCCCCAACCTTTGTAGTAAATGGTATGACAGCTCAGAGCGAGACAGAGACAGAAGGATCTCTGGGGTTTTGCTGGTTTCTGGCCTTGACAAGAAAATTTAAGTCCCAGGTTCACGGAGAGACCCTGCCTCACATGAACAGGAGGAGAATGATAGAGGAAGACACCCAGTGCCCTTTGTACACAGACACAAGTGTGCACACATAACATTTGCTATGCCCACCCTGACTCCTGGACTAGTAGCATGTCAGATTCAACAGTTGGTAGATTGGGCAGTCATGGGGACCTTCATAGATTCATTCCCCATTCCAATGCTTAGTAGTTAGGACTCCCAGAAGTACGTAGTCTGAAACATGGCAGTTAATACTTTTTTATTTAACTGAGACAAAGTCTTGTTATGTATCCCAGGTTATCCTTGAAGTAAAGAGGCTCCTGACTCAGCCTCTTGAGTGCAGGGATCATATAGTTGTGTGCCACTTCCTCTAGCCCCTAATAATTCACTGTGCGTGCGTGCGTGCATGCATGCGTGTGTATGTGTGTCTGTGTTCAGGCATATGAGGGTACACGTGTGTTCATGCATGTGAAGGCCAAACTTGATTGTTCTCTTTCTTCTTTTTTTTTTTCGGTCTTTTTGAGACAAGGTAGCCCCAGCCAGCCTGGAACTATCTCACTTGTACACCAGACTGGCCTTGAACTCACAGAGATCCACTTTGTTTCTGCCTCCAACTGTGGGACTAAAGGTGTGCACCACCATGCCTGGCACTATATATATATATATTGTCATCCACTTTTTTTTGAGGCAGTTTCTCTCACTGGCCTGACGTGGTCAAATAGGCTGGGCTAGGTGGCCCTAAGGGTCTGCCTGTCTCCACCTCCCCAAGATTGGAAGTACAAGCAAGTACCACCACACCCAACAGTTTTTTTACATTGGGTTCAGGGAATTGGATTTAAGTCTTTATGCTTTCAAGGCATAACTAACTGAACCATCTCCCTGTCCCTCAGCTTAATTCCTGACATCAGAGAAGTTCACTTCATATGAGGTTGCCACTCTGCCCATTGTTAATAAGAAAGACACATGACTGAGCAATCCCAAGATCTGGTTTCCATTTCCCTAAAGGGACCTTAGGTCACCCAATATTCAATACAGGATCCCATAGCATCTGCCGGACAATATGTCCCTCTTGCTTATATCACTGTGTACATTACCTGGTCCTATAGGGCACAATAGCTGGCTTTTGTTGTCTCTTTGCTTCTGTGTCTCTGCCCTGCCATTTCTAAGAGATCTGTGATGCCTTATAGATGAACCTACAGAGAACAACACAGACTCCCCTGTCCCCTTCTCTCCTGTCAGATCGAGGCTGTTGATCCTGCCTGGGCATTAAATCACTTTTCAGTATTTGTAAAGCCAGACTTCTAAAAATATAAATTCCTAGGTTCCATTTTAGGCTAATTAAACTTGGATTACTGGCTGAAGCCAAGAATAAGGATTTTTGAAGTTTCCTATGAGATTCTAAGTGCCTGTGAGGGCTGCAGGCTTCAGTTGTAGATGCAGAATGGGGACACAGGCCACTGGAGCAGATTGGCCCTTGGTTTGGGGTCACATTCTGAGCGTTCCGAGGTATAAGCCACATTTCTGTCCATTCTTCAGGATAATTAAGCATGGAATTGAAAAACAGTGTTATCCAACTTGGGAGTCACAGACTGTGCTTCGAGCCAGATTTGGTGACCTGTCCTCAGTAAGCCAATTAGCAGAGATAAAAGAACCAAATTAATAGTGGAAACCAGAAAAAGGAGATTCATTCAGTGTGGCCACATTGGGAAGAGAGACGAAGAGATTCAGTTAACCACTTTAGTCCATCTTTGGGGTCCTAAAGCGAAATTAAAGTTTAAATAGAAGACCAAGGATATGCACATCTAAACAGCTCTGGTCAAGGTGTGTTCTGCCTACCACTGACTGTCATCATTCGGCTTCAGTCTCATCTTGTAAGATGGTTTGACAAGTTGTTAGAACTGTATGAAATCTCTTTCTGGGAGACAAGTTCCCCCTCTGGTTGGGGCCTTTTCCTCCTCCCGGGATGATATTCCTGGGGAAATTCCCTTCTCTGGGGTCCATTGTTTGAATAGTCTGATAGCTTGAGAGACAGAGTCTCGAGAATATCTCAGTTCTGTCATGCCTGTTACAGTAGGAAAACACTGAGAGCACATTCCTTTTTAAGATCATGTTCAGGCTTCCATGAAGATCAGCCTCTTCATGGGTAGAGATGATAATTACTATATAATCCCTCATGGGCAAAATCTCTCACACTAGTCCTGTCAAGCTTGTATTGGCAGGGATTGCTTACATCATTTAAACCTCCAATTTTTATCCACGTGGGCCCTGTGAGTGAGGCTGTGCACTTCTGAAAGAGTTATATAGATGCAGAAGACAAAGTCCCAGCCTTGAAGTTGCAACTTCCAACTCTGATTCCCTCCTGTGAGGGAATCTTTGTAAAGCTCGCTGCAGGCACATGGTCATCACAGAGGTTCTCCATATTCAAGGGGCCTGGCCCCGTGGTGAGCAGGGTGAACCTGGGGCTCAGAACACACAGAGCATCCTTTGTACAGATGGACATGCATCAAGAGAGCCTGTCATATGTGAGTCAAAGTTCTGGGGGCTTTGAAGACAGACATGCCAGGTAGGCATTAACCCATTTTAAGGTGAAAAATCTAAGTTGAGAAGTTGAGTGTGTTTTTCTAAGCCACACAGGTAGAATATGGCAGGGTTGAGATCCAGGTCACTGCTCTGTAGCATTGAAGCCAGTGCCATGAGGGTTGTGAGTTTCACTAGAGATGGAATTAGGTGCATATACTCCTGAGATTAGCTAACTCAGTAGAGGCTGGTTAGTGGGCTGTCTTGAAGTCTTGAAACTGCTACTCAGTTGGCAACAGTGTGTGCTGGAGACAACTCCAGGTCCTTGTGTCTGCTCCCTGTACAAATAAAAAAAGTAGGAAGTGAGGAGAACTGAAGGAATAGGTGCATCAAGAAGTTACTAGCATGGGAGGAAGACGCAAGACATGTGTTTATTGAATCAGCTTTCTTGAGATTTCATAAGCACCTGGTATGTCAGGTGCCATGCTTGGCCCTGAGGATACTGCCAGCGCAGGATGTGATGCTAGATAGGCTAACCAGAAAAAACAGACGTGCATCTCTGGAATAAAGCCTACTTGAGAGCATAAGGAACATCCGCAAGGGGATTCAGGAATCGCAACCAAGATTCCGATCCAAGTCTTCGTGCTGCTGCTTGCTCCTTTGGTGGAGCCACCATATTCAGGCTGCAGTTAACAGTTAACACACGGGATGAGTTACACTGAAGCTGAGGAAAAAGCTTTTTGTAGTTTTCATAGTTCCTTCTGCTTTAAGTGCTTCTCTACCCCTTTCTGGACCTAAAAGATCTTAAAAGAAATGGTACCTTGAAATTATATATATATATATGAGTGTTTTGTCTACATGTATGTAAGTGCATCCATTTTGTACAATGCCCATGGAGGCCAGAAGACAGCATGGGATCCCCTGGAACTGGCGTTACACATGGTGTTAGCCACCACATAGGTGCTGGAACCAAACCCAGGTCCTTTGCAAGAGCAGCCAGTGCTCTTAACTGCTGAGCCACCTCTCCAACCCCACATGATGCTTTAAAGATAAAATACATATTAAAATATAAAGCATAGGCCAGTTTTCTGGCAAAGAATTAATAAGGTTATTCTAGGACATGAGTACAGTCATGAGTCAAGACTCCTTTATAATCAGAATAGTCGTACTTAGAATGTGACTCAGCTGGTAGAATGCTTGCCTAGTGTGCACAAAGCCCTGAGTTCCATCCCAGCACCACATAAACCAGGTGTGCTGCTACAAACCTGCTATCCCAGCACACAGGAGGTGGAGGCAGGAGGACCAGAAGTTCAAGGTCATCCTCAACTACATAGCAAATTCAAGACTAGCTTGGAATACACAAGACCCAATCTCAAAATATTAACTAAAACAAAGCAGAGGTGGCTCGCTCAGCCAAACTGAAATTCCAACAGGCTGCCTTCACGTTCGTCACACCCCCACTACTCTTGGCTCCCCTTGCCGCCTGGCTTCCTCTCTCCTCCTGTACACATGCTCCTCTCCTAGCACATGAGTTCCCACTTACAAAAAGATCTCAAATCTATGGAAGGTGGGCTTGGAGGGGGTACACCTTCTTTGGTACTGGGGACTCCCTCTCCAGCCTCTTGATTTCCACCTCCTCTAACTTAAGTTTCTCTCACTGTTCACAGGCTTGCATTCTGTCAGCACCTCCTCTCTCTCACCGCTCTTCCAAACGAGAGCTCTAGCCACCACCTTAATAAGTATTTAGAGATTTTCTTTTTAAAGAAATTTGATTACATTTCTTTATTGTGTGTATGGGTGGATTGTATGTATGTGGGTGCTTGAGTGCCATGGCACACATATGAAGTTGGTTCTCCCCTACCGTGTGGGTCCCAGAGATAGAACTGAGGTCCTCAGGCTTGGTGGCAAGCACCTTTACCCACTGAGGCATCTCACCAGTCCTAAGTATCAAGAGATTTTTTGATTAAAGAAAGGACTGTGGGGTGTGGTTAGGACTTACTCTTCCTGCTACCAGTAAGAAACTCCATTCTGCATACTGGGGAACTAAGTCTTCTACAGACCAAGAAATATCTAGTGGGTATTTGGGGATGTAATTTACATGACCTCATCTTATTTTAAACAAAAAATAAACCATAGACTTTGAATATTAGAAATTATGCCTTCATTTTTGTTTACATAAACTTCCTTTGGTGGACAAACTTGTCGAATAGTTCTGTGAAGAAAACATCTAAATTAAGTATTTTGTCTTGCTTTGTAAGCTGTAACATTTGAATCTTCTGGAAGATTTAAAAAGGAGAAAGCTGTTGAACTTAACTGAGCTTGGCCTTTGTGGTCACTGCTAAGTAGTGTGTTTGTTTTCCTTCCTTTGCGGTCGCTCCATTGGAGTGAGATTTTCTAAAGACTTATTTATTCATATCTTTATTTATATGTATGCACCTCTGAATATGTGCATGTGTGTGGGTGCACATAAAGGCCAGAAGAGGGCATTGGCTGTCCTCTTCTGTCACTTTCCACTTATTCCTTCGAGGTAGAGTCTCCCCTAAACATGGGCCCCTGTTTTTTTGGGTAGACTAGAAGCCAGCAAATCCCGGCCATCTTCCTGTCTCCACCCATCTCGGAGCTGGGGCTCCCAGCATTTACAGGGATGGCCAGCTAATTCCCTGGGTACCATGATACAAACTCCGGTCCTGATTGCACAGCAAACATGCTTAAGCAATGAGCCATCTCTTCAGCCTACAGAGTGAGCTCTGAAGGATAGAGTCACACATACACAGAGTGACTGACCAGTATGAGGAGTGACTCAGTGGTAAAGTGTTTGCTCAGCATGAATGAGGTCCTGAGTTTGAGCCCCAGTACTAGGAGTGATAAGATCCTAGCATGAGACACCTGTCACCACCTCATTCCATGGTCAAAGCCACTTAGTGCTCTTCCATCGCCATGGCGAGGGTTAGGTGGTGTCTTTGCAGGCACAGTGGTGAGGCAGCAGGGGATCAAGGGCTGCATACCAGTTTGTTGACATCCAGGAAGTCCAAGGAGCAAAGAGATGAACTGTGTGCATTGAAAACCATGTTTATAAAGACATCAGAAATTAGATTTAAAAATTAGAAACAGACTACAGAAACACTCAGATAAGAATTGAGAAGAAATATATAAATAAAAGTGGATTCTTTCTGTATTGTTTAAAGAAGGAGGATTTTAGAAATGAAAATAATTTCAGACATACTCCATCCAAACACCAAGTTCTACCTGTTGGAAGACACATCCTTGTCACTTTAGTGTGTTAGCTCTTCCTGGCTAACCGAAGTCACCCACCACGAAGCTTGCACAAACATTTTTCCTAACCTCCCGTGTGTACTAATCAGCCTTATATCAGATCCTTTGAAGTATTTCATCACAGAGCCTCACATGTAAACCTTTGTCTTGATGGGTCATTAACTCAAGGCAGGTACAAATGACTTTGAAATTTAGTTCTGCTGCTGGATATATGAGACTCTAAAGATTATTTGTTTATAGTCCCATTGGCTTTCTAGCATGATCAAAGTCTAGTCTAGGTCGCTGTCATATGACACATCATTTATTCCAGGTTTTGGTACCATCTCCATCAGTCCACCAATCAGCAAATGTGACCCTGTGTGCTTTAGCAAACATTTTTCAGAAATGCTAATATTGTTCCTTTCCAGAAATTTGGAACTATCCGGGCAGACTTGATTGAGCAGATGAGATTCAAGCAGAGGCTGAAAGTGATCCAGACTCTGGAGGATACCACCAAACGCAATGTGGTGAGTCCTTTGTTGAGCGGCAGGGCCTTGATTTCTCCCTCATTTCCACTCCTGCTGGCTTCTCAGTTTCAGTTTGACAGAATTAAAGGTAGCTTAACAGAAGAAATTAGGGGCTTTCTCAATATGCCATCCTTTGAATTTGTCAAATTCATTGTGCTTGTTCCTTTTACAGGTCCGAACTATCGTGACAGAAACTTCCTTTACCATTGATGAGCTGGAAGAACTTTATGCTCTTTTCAAGGTGAGTTTCAAAGTAAATTCATGCCCACTCAAAGAAATGGAAGAGTTCACTTTGATTGTTCAATGAGTTCTTGATCCTTCTGTAAAGTGGGTAAGGGATCACACAAGCCTCCAATGCATGAGGAGGAAGGCAGAGCTGTCAGTGCAAAAGTATGCTATTAGTCTGAAAAGTAAAGCAATTGTTACCACTGATTTAAGTTGCTTTTTAGCTATCTTCCTCACCAGATAATATGGTTAGCTATTCTCTTGGACCTTAGAAAATAAGATGTTACTTTATAAAGTTCCACAGAATAGCACTGATCAAGTTCAAATTCTGCCTGAAATCTGTATAACTTATGCTTTATAATTTCCCATATTAAGCACCAAATCACCATTAAGAAAAGGTATGTAATCTTAATTCTGTAAGACTTTTATGACAAATACCAAATAATAATAATAACAATAATAATTTAAGAGGATACAAGATTTCTTGGGCTCCTGGTTTTAGAGGTCTCACAGCCCATGTTTAGCCATGCCAATGCAAAAGTACAACTCTCACCTGAAAGGGAATTAGAGACAGTTTATTCTGGAGTGAAATTTGGAGGGACCATGGCCTGGAAACAGAGTTTTAGATCACCCCAAATTCCATGTTCCAATGTGCAACAGTTTCATGAAGTTTTTATAGTAACAGAACAAAGAAAGCCATAAATCAACACACTTTTCAAATGCCTTGGTGGAGACATCAGAGAGGTGGGTCATAGGAAAGCATGGAGAACTCTGCTGCAGCCTTTAGGTGCTACCTGACAGCATCCTTAGCCCTTGGGTTGGTGGAAGCTAGGCTTTGGTTAAGTTAATACATTCCAAAAGGATTTTATCTGTCAATCACAGGAAGTTAGGTCAGACACAGAGATGGACAAGGAATGACTACTTAGGGGCTAAAGATTGCACAAGATAAATTATAAATAGACTCTGTACCTATAACATTCTACAGCTCTCCACAATTATTGAAGTTCTGATCAGTTAATCAGCTTTGCAGGAGGTTCAGTTGAAGATGCACATTTTTTTCTGGAAACTTTCGTTCACAGCCAGTTCTGTTGGTTCTAGGCTGTGGTAAGGCACAAAGCAGCGTGACAAAGGGGAGGAAAGCTGTTCACCTCATGGAAGTCAGGAACCAGAAATATACCAAGAGAGGGATCTAGGATAAGACATAGCCTTCTAGAACATGTCTCCCTCCCCCCCAGAGACCCACCTCCAGAAGTTCCCATCACATCCCAATAATGCCATCAAATGATTAATCCATTGGTAAAGGTCGATCTTTCATAATCAGTCTCCTCTCAATGATGGGATCCACCATCACCATAACAAAAACTGGTTACACATTTAACAAAAAGTTCAGTTTCTATGATTTCCATTTTTTAATTAAACCCATAACAGTATCGATACTTAATAAGAAAATACTACCTTAATCATTAAAGCAATGTGTAATTCTTCTAGGGAAAGAAAATGTGTTTGTTATAACTGTCATGATCAGCAGCCTAGGTTAGAAAGTGGCAGCTGACAGGGGAAAATATTTAAAAGATGCCTATAGTGCAAGTGCAAATCTTACCACAATCTCTAATTCACTATCAGAACTAAATGTAGAGCGAGATGTGGATGGCTCATGCTTTTAACTTGGGAATTTGGAGGCAGGAGGATTGGGAGTTGAAGGTCATCCTTGGTACATGGCAAATTTGAGGCCAGCATGGGTTACAGCCTGTCTCAAAATAAAATAAAATAAAATAATAAAATAATAAATAAAATAAAAGTGGTTCTTCTGATCAATGCGGGTAATAGAGAGAGAATAGAGAGTAAGGTACACAAAGATCCCTGAAGAACTCTGATCATGCACACAGAAATGGAGCTTGGGAGGGAGGGCTCACCCTAATGGGCCCATTTGCTTGTTAGCCATTAGAGGGCACCACTGTCATTTATTTTTGTTCCATGTGCCTCTTCCCTGGTAGGCATGCCAAATGTGTGTTGAATTTATGGATAACTTGGTAGTTACTCAGTGTCTTGATGTCATGTTTGTGGTCCTACATTCCTGTGATGGGGACACACTGGTTTTCAGAGACAGCATCAGAAAGTTGTTTTTGAGCCTGGATCTTTGTTCTCACCATGGTATCTCCTGTACTTGGAGAGGTTCTAGAGTTCTTTGCAGCTCTCTGTAGTAGGAGGACCACACACTTGCCGATTGAACACTGTGTGCCTGGGATAATATGTGATTTGGGCTGTGGAAGCGGGGTTAACCACCTGCTTATTCTTTTTCAGGCTGAACATCTGACCAGTTGCTACTGGGGCGGCAGCAGCAACGCGCTGGACCGACATGACCCCAGCCTGCCTTACCTGGAGCAGTACCGCATTGACTTTGAGCAGTTCAAGGGCATGTTTGCACTTCTCTTTCCCTGGGCATGTGGCACTCACTCGGATGTGCTGGCCTCCCGCTTGTTCCAATTATTAGATGAGAACGGGGACTCCCTGATTAACTTCCGAGAGTTCATCTCTGGACTGAGTAAGGATATGATCTTTTTGTATGAGTTGAGTAGAGATGATAGGGCTATAACTTGGAGTTCACCTCAGGGTTCCTAGAGCATAGAGGAACGCCATGAAAATTGCACACGGGTTGTAAAATTGCTTTAATTAACGGCTGTATTATATGGGTGATCTACAGCCTTGTACATGAGACAGGTGTCAATGTGAATTTAAAATACATTATTAGAGGGTCTATGAGGTGACTCAGCAGATAAAAGCACCTGCTGCCAAGCCTGATGACCTGAGTTCAATCCCCAGGAGCCACATGGTGGAGGAAGAGAGCTGACTCCCACAGATTGTCTTCTGACGTCCACATTCGAGCTGTGGCATGGGTACACACACACACACACACACACACACACACATCACACAAATAGATAGATGATAGATAGATAGATATAGATAGATAGTTGATAAATAGATAGATAGATGATAGATAGATTGATAGATAAATGTAAATTATTTTTTTTAATATATTACCAGAGAATGCATATGCTGGTAACATGCTAACACAATTCCTGCATCTGATAGGTTTACCAGAGAAAAAGGGATGTCTGGATTGGTGGATTTGATTGCTTATGTTTGACAAAACAGTTAAAATATAGGTTAACATTACATATAATTTCATAATATTTCTAAAGAATATTTCATTCTGTTTTACCAAAGGGTTAGAAAGTCCACAGCATCTCTACAGTCTAAATGGAAGTCTTTCCTATCCACTTCTGGCATGAAGGCCTGCCCACAGTACCCGCATGCACACGTGCACACATGCGCACACACATTCAGGTTCCACACCTCACCAGCAGCACACAGATGCTGTTTCAACCCTGCTTCCCAACTTGTTCACTGCCCTGTATTCTTATTGGACTCTTATTCCCTTTATAATTGGATGAAACTACCACATGATAAGAGAGCTTGGTCTACCTAACGTGAGGTTGTGGATGTAGCCATCATTGTGTCTGGCTGCCAGAATAAGTCAGAAGGACTTTTTCTGTGGGAATTGTACCCATCTGTTACCAGTTTATTTTCTCATTGCTGCAACAAAACACAAGACCAAAGCAACTCCAGGAAGGAAGGGTTTATTTGGGCTCACAGTCTGAAGGTAAAGTCCATGGTGGCATAGAAGACATTGCAGCGGGAGCACGGAGCAGCTAGTCACATTGCATCTGCATTCAGGAAGTGCAGAGAGACAAGTGCTGATGCTCAGCTCACATTGTCCTTTTGATTCAGTCTGGAACCCCAGCCCAAGGGGCAGCGGCACAGATGTTTAGAGTGGGTCTTCAACCTCAGTGAACTCAATCTAGAAATTCCCTCATAGACAGGCCCAGAGTTTGTCTCCTTAGTGGTTCTATGAAGTTGACAATCAGTATTAGCCATCACTCCTTACACCATATATTTTCAATGATATACCCAAGCAAGGATGAAAACCAGGCATAGAGCCATGGGTGACTGAGAGAGCACCCTAACTTTAAGAATAATGTCTAAAAGCTGAAAAGTCAGAGGAAGTTGGAAATGTTTTAAATGGAGAAAGTCTTCTTAGGTTAAAAAGAAATCACAACTGTATAAAGGCTCATGTTTATGTTTAAAGTGGGGAAAACATGGAGGAACTAGCCTTTATTCGGGGCAGGTGCTGTTATGTGCTTACCTAAAAGAATTTAAAGTATATCACATGATCCAAACAGCCCTTTGAGCTACATGATGGCAGCTAACATTCCTCCAGTATTTTCTACACCAGGCCCTGATCTAGTAGTTTATGTACACTGTATTTAATTTGTTCAAAGGCACAGGCCTTTATGTTTGAATTCAGACAGCCTAGAAGCATAGTTTGTATAATTACCATCACACTGAGTAAGCTAGATTATCACCTGCCTTAATTTCGGCTCTCTAACTAAAGGCTTTAGACTGGGTAACTTATAAACAGTATTAATTGCTCACTGTTCTAGAGAGTGAGAAGTCCAAGATAAAGGAGCATCAAATTCAGTTTATATGGAGAACTGCTGCTCTTGGTATGTCCTTCTAAATAGCCACACGTGGTGGAAAAGCAAACAGGCTCACTGTAGTGACAACAACCCCATTGTCAGGATCTTCAGGACCTGCTCACCTCCCAGAGGCCCCACTTCCAGTGCCACCATCACTTTGGGGGTTAAGTTTCAACACAGGACTTGGGTGACAGCAGCATTTCAGATCCAAGCATAACTGCCTACCTACTGCCATTGACAGCTAAAGAAATAAAAGCTCAGAAAAAATAAGTAACTTGTAAAACATCCATTTTTAGCCAATCAGCAACTATCTCCCATTCCACTGAATGAAGACGTGTAGTTAGTGTGCTTGGAGCCAGGATATAAATGAGGGCAGTCTGTCTCAGAGGCTTCTCATTGGTTTACCACTCTGAGACAGCCAATGGGCCTTTCCTCTAGAACCCTTCCCAGGGATCTTTCCTTTCAACTTAACATAGAAGGTGGCTGTAGATAACACCCAGAGGACAGACAGATTGGACAAGATAACCTGTAATGTGCCTTCCAGCCTGGATGCTATGAGTACTGTCTTCCTTTTTTCCCCCCAAACTGACTCATCTTTAATTAGGTACTCTGAGAACAAATATTTACAAAAGATTTTCAGATTCCAGGAATAAATGCAGAGTATAAAGGAAAAATAGCAGCATTCTTTTTACTGAAACTGTACTAATATAATGACAGAATATATTAAAATGAAAGTTGGAATAAATTTAAAAAAATTCAGGGAACTGAAAATCCATCTAAATTAAAGTTAATCTTATGCTTTCTTTCATTTCTGACTTCATAGTTGTTTGGGATATTAAGGCCCAGTCATGTGATCATTCTCATTAATAATTCAGTTATAGCACATATAGTGGCATTTTATATATATATATATATATTATGGTTCCACTGTGCTTGATCTATGTAGTCTTACTAAGAACATGGTTGAGGGTGTTATGCAGGTTTGGGTTCTGCTGCTGTGTTTGGACAGTTCTGGATTATTCTTTTGGTTCT